GTTATTCGCCCTCCCCTGCGTCTGAGTAACTAATTTGAGACTAAAGCCTCTGAGTAAATCTCATGGTCACGTCTTTGCCACAAGGACCAAGTCTCTAGTAAAACCTACTGTCAGCTAACTAGATCCTGTCTCCGCCGCGTCTTCCTTATTCCCATCCGTAATACCAAGTCTATGACTTGTTATGCCTTAGGCTCTTATGTGCCAACCCACAAAACGTTGTGGTTCAACATTGAACCTAATCAAAGCAAGCAGTACTACAACATTTGTGGGTGAGCACACAAGAGACTAAGGCATAGCAAGTCATAGACGATATTACGGATAGAAATAGGATAGACGCGGCGGAAACTAGTTATAGTTGGCTGACAGTAGGTTTTACCATAGACGTGATCCATGTAGCAAAGGCGTGACCACGAGACTTACTCAGAGGCTTTGGCCTCGAATAAGTCACCCAGACGCATGGGAGGGGTAATAACGCCTCGAGTAGCACTGATGGGGTGACAGGGATCGAGTTAAATACGTGAACCAGGTATATAGCAGATGGATCTTACGGGACCAAAGAGAGACTATGATAAGACCTAGGGAAGGAGAACTGCGAAACAATATGGCAGACTCTAATCAACATTCCCAGCACAAGGGTGAAGGGGCTGAAAACGACAGCGTGGAGACACTACATCGAAATAAGCACGGTAAAAATTGTGACAGTGAAGGCATGATAGGACTACATAGGAAATGTGAATATCCAAGAGCAGAAGGGGAGATACCACAACTGTTTAGCACACGTTTGGTCAAAGTATCAGCTTCACTTGTCTCTTTCATGAGTTGTTGTGTGGTGCTAAGAATGGCATGACTCACTGACGATTCCGGCGAAACGTCAGTGAATGTACCACGTCCACGGTCCGACTTTGGAAATTATCATGCATACAATGGACTCCGGACTAGGTGCGCTCCTCTAAGTCTTTCTACCAATATGACCAAATTGCGAAAACAAGAAGTTGTTTGACCTTGTTTTCGCAACTTGTTCATATTGGTAGGAAGACTTATAGGAGCACACCTAGTCCTGAGTCCATTTTATGCATAATTATTTCCAAGGTCGGATCGTGGACGCGGTACATTCCCGAACGTTTCGCCGACATCGTCATGGGAATGTACCGCATCCACGGTCCGACTTTGAAAATAATTATGCATAAAATGGACTCGGGACAAGGTGCGTTCCTATAAGTCTTCCTACCAATATGACCAAGTTGCAAAAACAAGATCAAACAACTTCTATACAATGGAAGGAGACTGCGACCACAAAAAAGACCACACCGTCTTGGTACTCATACTTTCAATCAATCTATGGAAGTAAGATTGCCAAACAAGGCACTAATTACAGCCGAACAAAGAAGACAATTGTAAGCCAATTCTGCCATTTGGCCTTTTTT